GAAGACCAGAGACAGGAGGAGGAGGTGGTTGCTGCTGCTGCTCCTGCTGCGGCTGCGACCGCTGCTCCTCCAGCTGCGGCGGCTGCTGCTGCTCCTGCTGCTGCGGCTGCTGATGCGGCTGCTACTGCTGCTGCTGCTGCTGCTGCTGCTGCTGCTGCTGCTGCTGATGCTGCTGCTACTGCTGCTGCTCCTCCAACCGCTGTAGCTCCAGCTGCTGCCGCTCCAACTCTCTCTCCTCTCGCTCCACCTCCAGCTGCTCCTCACGGGCACGGCGTACACGGGCCTGGTGCCGAGTCGGGTAGGGGTGGGGGGGAGGAGTAGTGTCTGGAGCGGTGGTAGCCCCAGAAACGCTCTCCAAAGAACCAGTCGCACCACCCCCAGAGCCAGCACCACCAGAAGTAACAGGGTCCGTCCCAGGCTCTCCAGGTCCAGCAGAGGGTGCACCCCCAGTCGTAGAACCCCCAGGGACAGCTCCACTAACACCAGCTCCCCGAAGACTAGAGTCTCCTGCAGTCACGGGCTCAGCTCCAACTCCAGCACCCCCAGAACCAGGACCTCGCACAGTTACGCTCTCTGCTCCAACTCCAGCACCTCTAGAGCTAGCACCTCCAGGGTCCTCGCCACGAAAACCGGCTCCCGCAGGGTCTGCTGTAGGCTGGGAGGAGGACTGCGGGGAAGGAGGCTGCACCTGAGGGGCTACCGAGGGGGGAGGGGTAGCGTGGGACACACCTGACGGGGCGGGACCAGGGGGGGGAGGCTGTACCGGGGGAGCAGGAGGGGGAGCTGAAGTCAGGAAGAGAGGGGGAGGAGGAACCGGGAGACCTCGACAGGGGTACCTGACGTAGTAGGGGACGGACTCGTCGAAACGGACGTCACGAGAGTCAAAGAACCGGTGAAGGGGAGGGTGGTAAAAGGTGTAGTCAGAGGAGTCAGCAGGGAAACCAAGGAAAACGCAGGGAACAGCGCAAGGCGAGATCTTGTCCGCGGAGGTGTCGCGAACAAGTGACAAGCAACCCCAGACACGAAAACGCGACGCAGCACCAGGGGACCCGGTCCAAAGACTGGTCGGTGAAACCTCTGGCCGAGAGACACGTGGCCAGAGGTTCAACTGGTGAGCGGCGTACCGAACCGCGTAAGGCCACAGAAAATGGGGGGCACGGGCGTGAGTCATGGAGGTGCGGGCGATCTCCATGACCAAGCCTATGCGGCGCTCAGCAACCCCATTCTGCTGTGGGGACTCTGGAAGCGTCCAGGACTGACGGATGCCCTGCTCGCGACAGAATCCAGCGAGAACGCCAGAGCGAAACTCACCCCCGCGGTCGGAGTGAAGACAGCTGACACGACGACCACGAGTGTCCACAGTGGTAAGTAACCACCGGATCAGCGTAGAAGTCACGTCGGACTTCTTCGCCAGGGGGAACACTAAGGTGTAGCGGGAGTAGTCGTCAACGACCACGAGAAAAAAACTCTCTCGCTCAGGGCCAGGGCGCGAGGCGGGGCCCCAGAAGTCCAAGTGGAGAGTCTCGAAGGGCTCGGTGGCCGGACGAAGGGAGGAGGAGTGAGGGGTGGCGCGCAGCCGACCCTCGACGCAGGGACCGCAAGGTGGTGCAAGCGAAGGCGGCAGCGACGGCAAGACTCGCGGGAGGCCTAAGACAAGACGCTGACTAGACATAGCGCGCAGGCGAGAAATGGACGGGTGCCCCATCCGGTGGTGCCACAAAACAGTGGGGTGGGCAAGTGACCGACAGGAGCACGACGCAGCAACTGGACCAGACACCGGAACCTGACCAGACACAGCTACCTGGGGAGACGCGGCAACCTGGTGAGACGCGGGAACCTGACGGGGGGCAGTGACAGGGGTCGGGGGCAGTAGCTGCTGCTGCTGCTGCTGCTGCCGCTGCTGCTGCCCTCGGGGGCCAGTGTGAAGTGTGTAGAGACCAGAGCCCGGCTCAGCGGTAAAGGTGGCGAGAGGCGCGTACGTGTCCCCGTCGACACAAACCGCAGTCTCGCCAGAAGGCTCAATCCACACACCCACGTGCTGACTCACGAGCGGCCTCACGCCCACCAAGTTCCTCGAGAACGAGGGGACGTGGAAGCCGGTCAGAGAACCGAAGGGAACAGCCGGGCACGGAAGCGTAGTAGTGTAGCGAGCAGTGACTGGTCCCGAAGTGGGATCAGCCAGTGCTACAGAGACCGGCGTAGGAAGCGGGGTAAGTGTCGTGCGGTCGCGGAAGAAACAGTGCGAAGCTCCGGAGTCCAGAGTGAAAGACAGCGAAGCGTCCTCCGGAGCAGCTCCTGGACTAGTGTCTACACAAGTACCTACACTAGCAACAGGCACCTCAGCAAGACTAGCACCTAGGCTAACAACACTCGAGTAAACAGGGTCAGAAGCACTAGAGTCAACAATGTCATACATAGCATGAGGAGTTCCTAAGATATCAACCAACTGAGAAGCCGACATACCCCACAGAGCGGGGCCGTACGTCTGAACAAGGGGAAGCCAGTCAGGGGCAGGGCCGTCAACGCCGTAGGCCAACCAAACCGTGTCAGTAAGCTGAGCAAAGCACTGACCTGCTGGGTGGCTGCGGCCACAAGGCTGGCCGCGGCGGGCACGTGTCAGAACGTGATAGGTGCAGGGAGAGTGGACGACACCGCGCTGCAGCTGACGCTGTCCTGACCCCTGCCTCGAAACCTGCTGCTACCGCTGCTGCTGCTGTGCCTGCTGCGAGGGGAGGGGCTGCTGCTGCTGCTGCTCCTGTCGCTGAGTCAGGTACCACGCCGCTGCTCCACCCCCTGCGGCTGGCAGACCAGTAGGTGGCTGACGAACCCGGGCGTCACCTCCACCAGCTGCAGCAGGGGAGTCACCGGCCGCTGTACGAGACGCTCCTCCAGCCCCTGCACTCCCGTCGCCGCCGCTCGCCATGTCACCCCCACCGCCTCCGCCGCCTCCGCCCGCACCCTGACCGCCCCTCCTGCCAAACCTACCCCGAGACCGCGAAGAAGTCGTAACAGCAGCTACGGTCACGTCAGTAGCGGCAGTGGCAAGGGAGGCAGTAAAGGTGGGCGGCTGAGGGACAGTGCACCCGTGAAACAGTGGAGGGGGCACAGCACCAGAGGCAGATGCTACCGAGCGGAGGTTGCTCTCGACGTCCTTGAGGGCCGACTCAAGGACCTCGATAGTGAGCTCGCTAGGGTGCTTCAGAAGAAGCGCGTCACGAACCGAGGCAAGGCGGTCAGGGAGGCTAGAGGCGATGAAATAGATAGTAATCGCCATGGGGGGAGGGAGCAGTGCAAGTTGTGCGTCAGTGCAAGCAGCGCGGTAGCTAGAATCGAGCGAGCGCAGATGAGTGATCAAGTCAGCAGTGCGCTCAAACGAGGCGAGGTCAGGAAACAGGAACGGAAGGAACAGGCGACCAAGAGAGACAGTGGTGGGAGTAGCGTAGCGGGCCTTGATCGCAGTCAGGAACTCACGAGCCGTGCGAACCTGAGTGAAATGGGTCTCCTCAGACTCAAGGAGGAGGCTGCTGAGGGCGATGCAGGCCGCAGCGTCACGCGACTTCCACGCGGTCACGTCAGCACGCTCGCGTGCATAACGGTCACTGTCTGCAGGTGTGGGGTCAGCTGCTAAGGGTGCAGGTTCGTCGGGCTTAGGAAGGTCGCCAGAAGCGTGTGCCCACAGAGACTCATCTGCCTGAACCTGACTCTCTAAAAGGCGGCGCGCACGCAGGAGCCAGACGGTGAACTCAAGCGGCCTACCCTCGGCGTTGGGTTCTGCTATGGCGACCCCAAGGGTCCTGCGTTTTGACGCCGAGGGTAGGACGCCGGGGACGGGACAGGACGGACGGCGCGACGCAGCGGGACAGCGCGACGCGACGGGACAGCAGGGACAGGCGCGACGCGACGGGACAGCAGGGGGCGACGCGACGGGACAGCACGGGCAACGGGACGGGACGGGACAGCAGGGGCGACGCGACGGGACGGGACAGAAGGGGCGACGGGACGGGACGGGACAGCAAGGGCGACGCGACGGGACAGCAGGGGCGACGGGTCGGGACGGGACAGCAGGGGCGACAGGACGGGACGGGATAGCAGGGGCGACGCGACGGCAAGCGCAGCGGGCGCTAGGGCACGAGAGAGACGAGCGCGATAGGCGCTAGGGGACCGTACGGGCGTAACGGGCACTAGGGTACGGGACAGGCTCGGGCGCTACGGACGTGAACGAGAGGAACGGGATCCCACATGATCCTAACCTAGCTGATACCATGTCAAGAATGAAAGCGTTCGTTTGACTAAGGTTGGTTGGGGTACATAAACCTAACCCTAATAGTTGTACCCCCTATAACACACATCACTAAGACTACAACATTTGACATATATATCCTAGTCACCTCTTGAACTGGCCTTGTGGTCGCTTGCTTGTGCTCGGAATTTGTGTGGTGTCCTTGAGATCCACCCTGAGCTTGCTTTGCTTCTTGTCTTGACTGGTTGTGACCGTTTGTCTGCCTTGCTTGTTTTGATGCCCCTCACTTAGCCTATGGGGGTGTGTGAAATGTTGATATTTGTGATAGGCTGTAGTGAGGTGCTCCTTAGTGAGTACAAACATGTTAGGGTTTCCTATTTGTACCCTAACTCCTTTCTAGTCAAAGATTCCGTTGCATTCTTCTAACTTTGAGAAGTTGTGCCAAAACAAGCTTGACAATACAGCATATTTTACAATTTTCGCTTATTACAGGTACTCATGTCGAGCAACTTATAGCTCTCACCGGAGAAACTCCTTCGTCTGCGGTCCTGGATGGGTTCAAATTCAGGAAAGCACAACCAGAAAAGGGAGTAAAGTTAGGAAAATCAGCAACGGAAATGACTACGGTATTTGTTAGGACGAGCACGAGCAGAGCGTGTACAGAAAATATATGCAACCAGGACACTTGCAACTTTCAAGCAAAAAATAGGGTCAGGGTTTTGGGTATGGGGTTTATCGTACACGTAACACTATCATACACTTACTTAGCAATGGTAACATTGTTGTCCGGCCGGTCCCACCCCGACGCACCCCCATAGCAATCCGCATCACTCCAAAACCACATCAATCCACACGCCACCCTCGCCCCCTTAGCCCCATCAGGCGCATCCCAGAGAATCTTCAGGGAACCCACAGCCCCGGCCATAGGAGAGGGGATGTTGACGCAGCCAGTGGGATCGTCGGTGTCAGGAGTGGGGCCTCGGAGCACAATGGGAGTGCCAGCGAAGGACGGGCGGCTGAAGAGAACGATGCTGGTGGTGACAGTGGGGGGTCCGGCTGGGGGGACAAGTGGGGGAGGGGAATGGGAAGAGGGGGGTAGAGGAGAGAGAGAGGTAAGGGCAATGCTGGGTGTGAAAGTGGGTGGATGGGCCCAGAGAATCTTCAGGGAACCCAGGGCCCCAGCCATAGCCGGGCGGATGTTGACGCAGCCAGTAGCATCGTCAGTGTCGGGAGTGGGGGCTCGGAGAACAATGGGAGCGAGGGAGGCAGGGGTGTTAGTGAAGGAGGGGCGATTGAAGAGTGTGATGCTGGTCAATCTGCTTTTTTAGAATTCTCAAAAAATAGATTCAGTGTGATGCCGGTGGTGACTGTGGGTGATCCGGCTGGGGGGACAAGCGGAGAGGGAAAGTGGGGGACGAGGGGGAAGGGGGAGAAGAGTGTGGGTAAATGAGAGAGAAGTAAGGGCGATGAAGGAATGGGGCCTCGGAGCAGGATGGGAACGAGGGAGGTGGGTGCATTGGTGAACAAGGGGAAATTCAGGAATAACGTACCTTTAGTGCAGGCGCCGTTGACAAGCGATTGGGAGGCAGGGCAAGCACAGAAGGGAATGCCGTTGCTGTCGGCCCTGCAGCGAGCAGAAGCGGGGCACTTCACTCGCTTGCACGATGGCGCTGCAGGAGTGGAAAGCGGTGGAGAAGGGTAGAGAGGAGTAGAAACGGTTGGGGAGGGGTAAATAGGGGTTCTTAGGCGACACTAGGGAGTCAGAAGGGGATGCCGTTGATGTCGGCCCTGCAGCGAGCAGAAGCGGGGCACTTCACTCGCTTGCACGATGGCGCTGTAGGGAGGGGTGGAGAGCGGTGGAGAGGGGTATTTAGCAGACGCTAGGGGGTCAAAAGAGGATGGTGACAGAAGCAGAGGCAGAAGTGCAAAGGAATTGTACGTCTCTTATAAGCGTTCTCAAAATAATGTATTAACAGCACAGCACTCACCCTGGCATGTATGAAGTGTGCGATTTGCATTGTTCCCTTGGGGCAACAAACACACCGCACCAATTCAGCCGTCACACAAAAAGGCGACTCATCCTGGCATAAATCCTCCCATCCACACAGGTGACTTAGAACTCGACTCACCCTGGCATGTGTTGGGTGCGATTTGCACGGTTCCCGTGGGACACACACACTTGGCCGCACCCGATGTGCCATCACACACAAAGTCCCCGGGACAGCGAGCCGCGCCTTTGCATGGGTCTGCATGCATGGGATTGGTGGGGTTGGGGTGGGGAGAAGCGAAGAGTTGGGTGGGAGAGGCATGTCTCGTTACAGAGGGAAGCATGGGTCTGACCCGTTACCCGTGCAAGCATGGCGTGAAGTAGTAAGTATCTACAAGAGGGAAGGCTGGCATTGAAGGGATTAAAGAGGGAGTGGCACACATGCCACACAGACGCTACCCACATGCCACACATGCCAAGCATGCCACAGGCCACAGACCACATACCAACTCACACCACACATGCTCACCTGCTTGGCACGTGCTGCCGTTGACCAACACTTGGCCCCGCGGACACATGCAAGCGGACTTGCCATCAACACACCACACACCACACACAACACACGCCACATGCCGCACACCCAACACATGCCAACATGCTCACCTGCTTGGCACGTCCTGCCATTGACCAGCACTTGGCCTCGGGGACACAGGCAGACGGGCTTGCCATTCGCAGCAGCGCAGGTGGACGTGGAAGGGCAGAGGGCTCGGAAGCAAGGGTTTTCAACTGCATAGGGGGAGAGGGTGGTAAAAGAGGGCGAGAAGAGAAGGTGAGGAGGAGAGTCAAGGCGAGCAGGCAGACGGGCTTGCCATTCACAGCCGCACAGGAGGACGTGGAAGGAGAAATCTTGAACTGCGGAGTTGTCATGTCGCAAAGTTGTCAGCTCACAAAGTTGCCCGCGGGGTGGGGTAGTAGTTGCACGCCCACACACACGTCACTGTCCTCGCCACTTCTCAATACCCACACGCTGCAAGCTCCCCGTAAGGCAATCCTCTGCACCTGTGAGCTCCCCGTAAGGCAATCCTCTGCACCTGTGAGCTCCCCGTAAGGCAATCCTTTGCATCCTTGAGCTCACCATAAGGCCTCTCGCCCACAAAGTTGCCAGCAGGGTAATAGTTGCACGCCCACACGTCAGCGTCCCCGCCACACGCCGCCTTGCCACACCCCACCTTGCGAGAGTCGTTCCATACCACCTGCAGAGCACACCACACGCACGAGACACGATGCACGAGACACAATGCACGAGGCACACGTGAGTAGAACGAACGTTTGAGCTACATACATATACATACTTGCGAGTAGTGCCCGCATCTGCTCCAGTCACCAAGCAAGCAGACCCACCTGCGAGTAGTGCCCGCAGCTTCCCCAGTCACCACTTATGCGATTGTACGACTTGCCCTCGCCCACCCACCACTGCACTGCATCGCTGTTCAACGCCCACCCGGCCGGCCCCGCGCCTGAGAGGTTCTGCCCCTCGCCCTCCCCCATGCCGCCATGCTCCAACCCGCAGTTGTAGTCGTCACGGAGAGTGTCGGCCCACGCCTGGGCCCTCTCAGCCACTGGGGGTGGGGGGGGGAAGAGAGGAACCGGAGGAGAAGGGAATGAGGGGTGTGTGGTGCGCCTGAGAGGTTCTGTCCTGCCCCTCACCCTCTCCCATGCCGCCGTGCTCCAGCCCACAGTTATAGTCACTGGCGAGAGTGTCCGCCCACGCCTGGGCTCTCTCAGCCACTGGTGGAAGGGTGGGGGGGGTGGGGAGGAGAGGAGAGAGGAAGGGAGGAAGACGAGAAATAGCAGCATGAATGAACACTACAGTGACATGAGAAGAAGCAGTAACATGAACACCATACCAACCCAACATGAGAAGAAACAGCACTCCACCGGATTGTCCCACACTCCACCACCCATTACCGCTCACCTGCGCCATCCCACTCGATGGGCACGGCCCCCACAGCCGCCCTGGCGGCGTTGTGTGGGTCGAGATAGTCGGAGTTGGGATAATCAGCAGAGGAGCACCGGTTGTTGATCAGGCGCTGGGAGCAGGACATTTGCACACCACTGCACCGTCCTGCAATGCGCACTTGGACACGTGGGGGCACTTCACACCGTAGCACGGGTCTGGTGATGGGGCGGTAATGGGGGGTTGGAATAGGGGAAGAGGACTCGGATTGGACATTTGCACACCACTGCACTGCACCGTCCTGCACCGCGCACTTGGACACATGGGGGCACTTGACGCCGTAGCAGGGGTCTAGTTGAGGGGGGACGGGGCAGGGAAGGAAACAAGGGAAGAGGGCTCGTGTTGGACATTTGCACACCGAGCTGCACTGTTCTGAACCGCACACTTGGACATGTGGAGGCGTTTCACAGCATCACAAGAATCAGGGAAAGAGAGGAGGAAAGAAGGATATACTCTTTTGCCACGGTTCTAATCACCTGGCATTGTTGCAATCACCTTTGCACGAGCACTTAGCGACGGCCCCGGAAGCAGCGCAGGTGCAGCCCTTGGGGCACGACACGAAGGAAGACGGGCCACTGGCAGCGGCAGCAGCAGCAGCAGCAGCAGCAGCAGCAGCAGCACTAACTGCAATCACCTGAAAACGTTGCAATCACCTTTGCACGAGCACTTGGCCACGCCCGCGGAAGCAGCGCAGGTGCAGCCCTTGGGGCACGACACGAAGGAGCAGGGGCCGCTGGCAGCAGCAGCACCGAATCGCGATGATAATCGCGTGGAAGCTGGCACGGACGCGCTTCGGTACCATCCGGGACCGCTGGCAGCAGTAGCGGCTCGGGATGACGATCGCGTGGACGGCTGAGACGGTACGACAGCGCGGCTGCGATACCGTACGGGACCGTTGGCAGCAGCCGCAGCTTGGAATGATAATCGCGTGGAGGGCTGAGACGGCTGAGACGGCTGAGACGGTACGACGGCGCGGCTGCGATACCGTACGGGACCGTTGGCAGAAGCAGCGCGAGACTGCGTCGACGCGTGGCTCCAGCGACCGTGACGGCCGTGCGCGGCGGCGACGGCGGCGGATGCGGAGAGGAAGCGGTGGGAGAGGAGGGTCGCGTGGAGGAGGACGACGAGGAAAGGGAGCAGGACGGATGATGAGCCTGATCGCACTGAACCATTTGTGCAGGCCATCGTGGTACTATACTAACGAGCGTGATAATGGAGAATAAACAGGCAACGGGAGATCGCGCGAAGGAGCAACGGCTTCCTGATTATAAGAACGAGGGAGGCCGGCAGAAGGAGAGAGACGCGGGGAGACTGTAATCGTATAACAAGTTGCTTCGATGGTGGACGGCTGGTGGATTGCTGGTGGATTGATGTTGGATGGCTGCGTTTATAACTGCATTGATAACTGCGAGAACATATGAAAGTTCGAACGCAAGGGCGGCTGCTGGTTGAACGAGCCAATCCGGACCAAGCCATGGCGAATGATACGAGCTAGTGAGCTTCCCGCGGACGACGATGCCAGGTCGCGCGTTTCGGACCTTGGCCTTAGAGGCTGGGACTAACGACGACAGACAATTTGCGATTCTCCAAGTCACACAGATTGCAGGTGAACGGAAGAAGCTCGAATGGCTGTCGGACTAGAATAGTTTGCGTCGGTGGTGGGTTGAACAGAAACTCGGGGAGTTGGGAGGACTAGGGTTGAATGCAAGGAAACGAAGTTACTGTATTTCCTACTGGAGGGCGTGTGTGTGGCGCGCGGGACTCCCAAGGGAGTGCTGTGTGGCGCGCGGGACTCCCCAGGGCGTGATGTTTGGCGCGCGCGGCTCCCACTTCTGTGTGATCCATGCATCCCCTGCCCTTGATAGTATAGTAGATCGTGGTTGGAACGTCAATAAAAGAGTTACATTACGGTTCGTACTGGTATCGTATCAAACCGAACCATTGAAACATCCGTTCCCGCCATCCGCCCCCGTCCCTCCGCCAACAACCTCTCCCACACCCACCCAAACCCCAATCTGACAGCAGTGTTTCGCGCTCCGATGCTTGAATGCGCCCGCGAATCCCAAAATCGAAGCTTGCCGTGACAGCCACGGGATACCCGTTTGTGTCAGTGACGAGTCACGAAGTGCTCCACCTGGAGTTTCAACAATTGCTGCTATATTTTCTAGTTTGCTAAAATGGTGAAGCCTTAGTTTAGACAGTTATACAGTCTGATGAAGGGATAAATATCACTAGCATCTTATACAGTCTCCGTGAGGCATATCCCTATCGTGCAGCTGATAGTTGCCGGCAAATGCGCCTGTGGGGTCGAGTTCGCTGATCCTTCAGATCCCCATCATGCCCTTCGCTGCAAGCATCAGTATACACCTTCTCGGGTTCACGACGCGGTTAAGTTTGTGGTGGCGAAAATAGCTAAAGCTGCGGGTGGGGTGGTGAATATGGAGGACGATACGTTGCTGCCAGGGAAGAAAGTGGATGTGGCGGTTCAGAGATTGAGGGAGGGGGAGGAGCATGCGCTGGAGGTTAGTGTCGTAGATCCTATCTCTCTGTCAGTGCAGCAACACGGACAGATCGGACGCAAGGTGAGGTTCGCTGCTAGAGAGAGAGAAAAGCGGAAGGCAGCGGATTACAAATTGCTTTTGCTGCGGCATAGGGGAGTGCAGTTCACGCCTCTCATTGCAGAGACATGGGGATGTCTTGGTGGGAGCTTTGGACGATGGCTTAAGAAACAGGGTGATGCACATATTGATGTAGCAAAGACGAAGGGAGCGGCGAGGGCCACGGGAAAGGGTTTTTCTGCTTATCTGCTAGGTTCACTTAAAGCAGCCATAGGGGTGGCTGTCAAGAATGAAAGTGTTGGTTTGACTAAGGTTGGTTGGCGTACATAAACCTAACCCTAATAGTTGTACCCCCTATAACACACATCACTAAGACTACAACATTTGACACACCCCCGTAGTCTAAGTGAGGGGTGTCAAGCAAAACTAAAAGTGTACGGTCACAAGACCAGTCACAAAGAAACAAAGGTCAGGGTGGATCACGTCACCACACACTCCGAGCACAAGCAAAAGAGCCACAAGGCCAGTTCAAGAGTTCACAGAGGTATATATAAAGCGTACAAAGAAAGCAAGCAGAGAACTCAAGACTACGCAAGGCGAGAACCTGTGTCAACGAGACCTAACTGCACACAACACCTCTGGTGGTCACAAGGCGGAAGCGCCTTGGTGAAGATGTCTGCAGTGTTGGCCCTCGTCAACGGTGCATGCACTGAAGGTACCTTACTCTGATTCTGGTGCATGCACTGAAGGTACCTTACTCTGATTCTGGTGCATGCACTGAAGGTACCTAACTCTGATTCCGGTGCATGCACTGAAGGTACCTTACTCTGATTCTGGTGCATGCACTGAAGGTACCTTACTCTGATTCTGGTGCATGCACTGAAGGTACCTTACTCTGATTCTGGTGCATGCACTGAAGGTACCTTACTCTGATTCTCAAAGACTCTGACTGCGCTTGAACCAGGTCTGAAACCCATTCAATCCTTGGTTTGGTACTGAAAGGAAACTTCAAACTGGCTTCAATTTGCCCCTCTCCTCCGGAACAACTTCCCTCTTCCCCTCCTACCTTTTATGCCCCATCCACCCACGGTCACATCCACTGTCACCCTTACCTCTCTCTCTCATTCCCCTCCCCCCTCCTCGTCTCCCCTTTCCCCTCCCTCACTTGTCCCCCCAGCCGGACCCCCCACAGCCACCACCAGCATCGTTCTCTTCAACCGCGCCTCCTTTGCCAATACTCCCATTGTGCTCCGAGGCCCCATGCCTGACACTGACGATGCTACCGGCTGTGTCAACATCCCCTCCTCTATGGCTGGGGCTGTGCGTTCCCTGAAGATTTTATGGGATGCGCCTGATGGGGCTACGGGGGCGAGGGTGACGTGTGGGCTCATGTGGTTTTGGAGTGACGCAGATTGCTATGGGGGGGCGCCGGGGTGGGGCCGACCCGACAACAATGTTACCATTGCCAAGTGAGTGTGATCTTATTAGGTGCATTGTAAGTGGTAAGTTTTACGTGTCATTCTTGCCTGCCTTTTTCATACACGCTCCGCTCATGCTTGCGCTGACACAGTGCAGCATTCTAGCTACTGGTTTTCTGATTTACCCCGACTTTTTGTTTTCTTACCTATTTTCTGTTTCTGGTTTGGTATGTTTGCCTGTATCTGGACCCACATCAGGACCACACACGATGGAGTTGCCTCGGTGCGAGCTATTAGCTGCGTGTCATAAAATTACCAGTCATTGGAGTTATTTGAGCTTGCTATTTGTATAACCGTTGATTATAAGATATCCATGTCTATTAGTGTCTATATTCCATTTGCCTGTTTTTTTTAGCGCTTTTTCTATAAGATATGTGCAACCGGAGGCTCAAATGGTTAGATACGCGAAACGAGTGACTGTTTAAAGGGTCTTTCTGGAGGAACTTGTTCCGTGCCCTCACAGACAAACTCCTCGACTTAACCGCGCTGCGGCATTCTAGAATCTAGATTCTAGTCAAGTTACCAATTTCGCTTCACGTCACAAACTTTCTGTTCCTATGCTGACCTGTGGCTCTCTTTTATTCTGGGTTAGGTACAGTTGGTGATCTGTAGATGTTTCAAACAGACACGCACTTGGAATTTGTTGCCCCGGTTTTCCTGAATTAACATTGTTTCGGTAGTCACGCTATGGCTGATCCTGACGACGCAGTTGACTTTCTTGACTCCTCTAAGAGTTCGAAGCCTCCTCGGGAAGTCGCCACGAGTCAACCCCAGTTCGTCGGGTCTTTTGAGTCAACTCAAACGCTCGCTTCAAGAGATTTTCCGTCGAGCGTTCCGGCGACAGGAGCTGGCCAGCGACACCCACTGTTTCCGATCTTCCCTATCGGTCAGACTCGAAAACAAGTTTCTAGTATCTCTGCATCGTCTCAGGAAGGCGAATTCGTTAACGGAGGTGGTGTAAAGTTCAGTAGGACGACGGAGTCCGAAATCGTCCCAGTTAACGTCTCAAAATATATGTTCCCGATTTCGGGTGCGTTCCCGCAAGAGAGGGC